AAATGTGTGGGGACAGAGAGACCCAATTCGAGGCACACGTGATCCTCAGGATGTTTGTGTGACATCATTTCCACCTGACAGAGGGGGGCTGTGGCTGCCTGAAGCCGGCACTGAGGACCGGAGCTGTTGCCATGTGAAAACAGAGATTTTCCCAAACAGTGAACAATCCTGGTGATGTCACAGGGCTGCAGAGGACCCAAATCAAATCAGTTCTGGTGCTGGGCAGCGCCTGTAACTCTATCTGAGGTGACGACACAGCCTGGCCCGGGGCAGGAGAGTTGGGAGGGCGGGGGCCTCCAGGTGGGCCTCCTTGTGTCTCTGGGGTCACGTATCTAAAACCACGCCTGTCAGAGGTGGCTAGGGCTTAGCAAAGAATCACCCAACCAGACGACCCCAGAAACAGGGTTTCAATGGCACTAGATGCCCCTCCCCCCAGCAGCCCACGGGGCCACAGTGGGGGCAACACGGGGGGGTGAACAGATCCCAAGGCGGGGTGCTGAGCGAGGGGCCTTCCCCACACTCCTCCGGGCCTGGCTGAAACCTAATCCTCATTCTTGGCCTCATGTCACGGCCTCAGCCCTGGCGGTCCGGCGGCCTGACGCAGTCAAGCTGTTTCCGCTCTCTTCTCTTCCTCCAAGGGAGGACTTTGTGGGTGAAGTCATGGGAATAAGAGCTCCCTTTGCCCCCCAAACGGTGGGAGCCTGAAGCCGACTTGCTGTGTGGCCTCCCTCCTGGTGTCCAGGCAGCCGACCGCTGTGTTTGCCAGAGCCGTCCCCGCAGGTGACATCACCTAATTCTCAGATCCTGTGAGTGTCCCCTTGCTCAGATGAGGACACCGAGGCCCAAGTCTGCACTGGCCCAAGGTCCCAACGCCACCCAGTGAAACCTCGTCCAGGTCCGGCCCCACACCTTGAGGTCAGACTCAGCTAATCCAGACTCAGCTAAGTCAGTGCACCTTGACTCAGTTCCCGCTGCTGTCAGGTGCAAGGTCAGCTGCTAGGAGCCAGCCCCTGCCGGACAGGTCCTCGGGCGCGCCTTCCTTTTCCACATCTGCCTAGTGTGTCCCTTGAGTTATTCTCTGCAAATGTTATTGTGATAGGCAGTTGGATTGATATGGACTGAGTGAGGACAATGAGCTGAGAAGGTCACCAGGGCAGAAAGCCCCAGGTGCCTAGCAAGGGGCAAGACTGGGAAAACGAGAACCTCGTCCCCAGGTAACCTTCCCTCCCCCAGCATATCGCTGTCATGCGGTTTAGACCCCTGACCTTTCATATCGCTGTCATGCGGTTTAGACCCCTGACCTTTTCCTCCCTAGAGATAACATCTGGGCCTCAGCTGTATTTCAGCTCCAGGATGGGAAAAGCAGCAAAACCAGACAGGCTACACCTTGGCTGCCTCAGGACCAGCTGCACTGACTGATGACCCCCTGCCCTGGGGGCTGATCGATCAGAGGAGACCATGACCCTGAAAGGACACACCTGGGAAGCTGATGAATATTCTATTGAGACCCTCCCCGGAGACCTCCCCTAAGATTCCCACCTGCAAGATTCCCTCTGTGCCAAGGGGAGCACACCAGTGCCTCTTCCTTCCCCCTTCTTCCCTGGACGGGAACCCATGAGACCTGCAACCAGGGGAGCAATGGGCATTGGCAGCTCACCCCAGGATTATCCCCAACCTGTCTCCCAGCCCCTCTTTCCTCTGACCTCCCCGGGAGCCACAGCAGCCCGGCCAGGCTCTCTGTGGCTTCTTCTGTGCTAGACCCGTCCTTGTTTCCCTTCCCCAGCTTTCATAAACGTTCCACCTAAGTGTGCGTTTGCTGCGGCAATAACTTCTTCCTTCCTTTGCTGCACTTTGTCTCTTGACGGAAATCTTTCCTTCAGGACAGGAAATGAGGTCTCATCGTCTCACCGGTAACATTATCATGCTTCTAATAGATTAATTTAAAAAATTACACTTTAGTTCACCTTTCAATTTAATGCAAAAGGGTAGATATCCATGACTATAGTTACCATTTTGGCAAGAATCAAATTATTATTTTTTTTTTATTTATCAGAGAATGAGTCATATTTAAAAAATATATTTTTATTGATTTCAGAGAGGGAGAGAGAGAGAAACATCAATGATGATAAAGAATCATTGATAGGCTGCCTCCTGTACGCCCCCTACTGAGGATTGAGCCGGCAACCCAGGCATGTGCCCTGACAGGGAATCAAACCATGACCTCTTGGTTCATAGGTTGATGCTCAACCCCTGAGCCACACCAGCCAGGCAAGAATCAAATTCTTAGATGTGATCGTGGCTCACCTGGGAACCGAAGGGAGCTGAGCCCAAGTTGGCCGTGACCAGAATCACTCCAGCCCCTGGTCCCGAGAAGCCCTGGGGCAGTCCATCCGCTTTGAGGGAGCCCCATGGGCTCCTGGTGTTCATTCCACACAGGGGAGAACTGGCTCCACGACAGCCTCAGCACAGTCCATGTCAGGCTTCACTCATCAGCTCCATGCCCGGCCGCCCTCTGTGCCTGGTGCTGGGGCTCAGGAGAACCCACAGCAGCCACGCTCTGCTTCAGGTGAGTGCCCCGCACGGGGAGCGATGAGGAGTGACACAGCCCGGGAGCGGGAGCATCCTCACCTCGTCTGTGCTCGGACCACCCACTCGTGAGCCGCTCACAGGTTCCAGCTCAGTACAGTCATCCTCACCTAACGTCTCTGACGGTTCCAGGACTTCACTAACATAGACAAGAGGCAAGTTCGCACGGCATCTCATCAACACTGTAACGGAATGACACTGAATGAAACCTTATTCAAAACCTGCTGCCCAGCTGGTGTGGCTCAATGGTTGAGTGGTGACCTATGAACCAGGAGATCATGGTTTGATTCCCGGTCGGGGTATATGCCCTGATTGCAGGCTTGGTCCCCAGCAGGGGGTGTGCAGGAGGCTGATCTGTGATTCTCTCTCATCATGGATGTTTCTCTCTCTCTCTTTCTCTCTCTCTCTCTCTCTCTCTCTCTTTTCATTCCTCTCTGAAATCAAAGAAAAGATTTATTTTTTTTTAAAGAACCTGTTGTAGTCAGTTTCCACTGGGCCAACTGGTTGATCTACCAAGTGGAGCAGTGCTTGGAATTGACTACAGCGAACTGTCATGTGACCAGTTCACTTAATTACAAACATTTTCATGGGAGTGTCAACTGCCTGATTCTAGCAATCACTGTCCCTGCCTAGTCCAGGGAAGATGCTCAGTAAAAGGGTCCTGTCTGGGATGTCCTAGAAAACCCGTCAGGTGGAAGTGGTTGGAAACATCCCCAGGCCCTGACTCACCTGGAACCTTAAGGGAGCTGAGCCCAAGTAGGCTATGCTGAGCCTGGCTACGGAGGACATCGTGTGGTCACTGAAGACTGGGGTCCGCTGGGCGGGTGGTGGTGCCTCAGTTTACCCAACGTTGTCTGTGGGAAAGACAGCACGCACGCACCTGGCGGACATGAGCACCCTCGTGCTTGGGACTTGGTTTCCCCACCTCACCCTCGTGGGCCTGAGAATTTGGTGGGCTTTTGCACGTGTTCCAAGGTTGTCCACCCCCCTTTCTGGAAGTCCAGTAGCCCCAAACCTTGTATCCATCCCTGGGACTTCGATACGGGAAGAGGATGGCTTGGCCTGTTCTGTGGTATTCCTTGTGTGAATCACACCTGTCCCGTTACACGAGCACCTGGTGAGGGTGTGCTGGTATGCTACAAAGCTTCCACGGCCCGAGGCACCCTGTCCACCCTCCCCCGCCTGCTGGCCGCTACGCACAGTGTCAGTGGCCTGTCTTCCCTCTGATTCTGGTTGGGTTTGGTCAGGGGAGCGCTATGGAGAGACTGGGGGGCAAACATGGGAGTGAGGTTGGGTCCCTATTTTGCCACTTCCTCCCGCTGGGCTGCAGGTGGCAGTGGGCAGTGGTGTGTTCCTTTAGCAAAGGCCCAGCTCCTGGCAGCCCTCTCTGCCCTTGTCCCTGGGGCAGAGGGTGGTGACAGCTCGGCTAGCCTGGGAGGCTTTCCAGCTCTTGCCCACACCTGGGAATGGCCCTTCATTAACCCTCTCCCATCGCTCAATTTGAGGTGTCACATGTTTCCTCCAGGGACCCTGAAGGACATAATTGGTCTGATCCAGCCCCCAAATAGGGCAGCTGAGCCAATCAGGAGAGGGGCTCCCACCCCGGGTATTACCCCCACTGCTGAGTGTGTGCAGGAGCAGAAAGCAAGTCCAATTCCAGGACACCCGCCCTCACACACCCGTCTGCGATCAAAGCAAGTCCACTTCGACCTGAGTCCTGGTTTTGAGACAGCGCTTGGCTGAGCACCTTCAATAACTAGAAAATGTTTCACAGAATTTTCACAGAGAGATTCCAGGGTCCCGGAAACCTTCACCCTCATCTTCACCCACTCCGACAGCTGGATAGGGGTCCTGGGTCTGGGGCTGGTGTTCCTTTGGGAGCAGACTCCCAGGAGGCCCCTCGGTGTCTGGGGCCTGAGGGCAAACTCATTCTCCGCAAGAAATGGGCATGAGGGGTCAGGTCTGGGAGCAAAGTGGGTCTGATCCACGAAGCTGGGGGCCCAGGGACCCTCCCTCAGAACCAGGATGCTGGGGGCACCTCTGGTCCCCAGTGGGGTTCAAGGAGGAGCCCGTGGGTTGGCCCTGGAGAGGAACCCCAGGCCAGAGGGAGAGATTCTGGAACTACCAGGGCCTCAGCCAGGCTGTCTGGGGCTGGAGCAAGCTGGGCCCAGGACCCAGACCTGCCGGCCTGTGACCCTGACAGAGCCAGAAACGAAGCTGGCGGGCTACTCAGCACCCAGGGAGAGCCCGTCACTGCCCCCTTGGTGACAGGCCGCACTCAGGATAAGAAGGAGCAGGGGCCTGACCCTGGCTCTGCTATGTGCTGGTAGGAGGAGCCCGCCAGGCGCTGCCTTGCTCTGGAGGCTGGCAGGCAGGCCACAAACGTGCCTGAGAGGCTCCCCAGACGTCCCTACAGGATCCCTGCCCCTGGGCCCCACTCCCTGCTCCCACCCCACATGGCCTCCTGCTGGGGACTTCCATTCTGAGGAAGAGCCTTTGGATGCAAACCACCCCAAGAAATAGAAATCCTGGCCAGAGAGCACCCCTCCTGCTCACCCCGAGAAGGCTTCGCTGACCTCCCCGGAGCCCCTGTGCAGGGAGAGGACCCCCTCTCCTGTCCGCCACACACGACTCCTTCCTCCAGTGCCTGAGTGGGTGCTGCCCTCCCAGGGGCACGGCACAGAAAAGCTGAGCGGGGTCCTCCTCTGTCCCCAGAAGCAGCCTTTGGGGAAACAGGTGCCAACAAGCAGAGGCCGAGAAGTGGGGCGGGGGGGGCAAGCCAGCAGCCACCTGAGCTGCCAGTGGGCCCTGGAGCTGGAGCTGCTGGCTGTGGTCACACAGCTGGGGGTCAGGCTGCCCACCCTCCCCAGTGGCTCCAGCGCCCGGGCCACTCTGTCACCCCTCGTTTGTGCATCTTCCTCTCCAGGGCCAGCCCATTGAGTTCTCACAATGCTTCCCGGACCCTAGCTCCTTCCTCTGAGGTCTCAGACACCCCCGTGGGCCGGGGAGCTGCTTCTCCCTCTCTTTGGGCGTCAGAGTCGCAGCCGCGGCCACGGGTTAGCTCAGAGTTGGTGTGGTGGCCGCGGAGACCAAAACCATGTCCCTCAGATGTCCCTGATGCCCTGAGCCCAGCCCCCGCTGAGTGAACAAACAAGCAAAACTAAACGGGGCGCTCCCATGGGGGGTCAGCTGGCTGCCTCTGGGGGTGCCGGGGAGCCGCTCAGTGCTCCTGGACAGGGCTGAAGGGCTGGGTCCACTTGGAGACGTCCAGGAAGACGGTGGAGGCGCAGTGGTAGAGCCAGAGGCGGGGCAGGGCGCCGTGGCGGACCCAGGCGTCCCTCCTAGGGTCGTAGGCCTCCATCTCCACATGGTAGTCACCGTCCATGCCCTGCCAGCGGCCACCCGTCAAGTACAGTGCGTCACCCAGCGGCACCAGCGCGCCATTCTCGTGCAGGCTGTGCAGGGACTGCACCTGTGGGTGGTCAGTGGTCAGTGTCCAGTGGGTGGCCAGGGTGTGGTGACCAAGGGATGTGCAGAGAGGATGCCAGCACCCCGCCCAACGTCCCGCCCAGGGCACCCGCACACCTGGGACCTGGGATGTCACTCTGGCTCCCTGTGACGCTCTTTCCCCTCCAGCTCCTTCTTGTGGGGAGACCCCACTACCCACCTCCCTCCGCCTCCCAGCCCAGGATGATGTTTCCAGCCCCCTTGTTCTCCCCGGGGCCCAAATCTGCTGATTTCTGGAAGCTGGGGTGAGGGGGCGGGGAGTCCTGAGCCTGGAGCTGCCTCCAGGGTGAGGTCTGGCTGAGCCTTTGATTCTGAGCTGCTCTCTTGAAGGGGACAGATGTGGCCTCAGCCTCAAACACATGTGTGGGGCCACGTGCTCCATGGGCCCTTCACTCGGCCCCTGCACCCCTGGCCTTGACCCATGGCTTCAGGAGTGTCCTGGGTAGGGGTGTGGGTCAGGGCCAGCAGCTGCCTAAGGTTCAAGAGAGATGTGGGCGCTCCTGGAAGAGCCCGGATGGCAGTAAGGACAGGTTTGTCTGTGGCCTGCACCTGAAGGCAGTATGGGCCTGGAGAGGGCAAGTGCAGCTACATGGCTGGGACCCTGCCCAGAGCAGTGGCGTGAGCCGAGGCCCAGTTGAGCGGGCCCGGGAAGAAAAGCCCTGCCTGGCAGCGTGTGCCCTGCACCTGCTGTGCCACCGTAATGGGGCCTCTGGTCAGCTGAGCACTGACGCCAGGGGACAGCTATGGGCAGTGGGATCGCGGAGGCCCTGTGTGGCCCAGCCTGGGGCGGCTGCAGGAGGCAGAGCCACCTCCTGGGGCTTCAGGGACTGGGAATCTCAGGGCAGGTGGAGGGCCCAGCACTGACGAGTGCTGAGGCCACGGCGGGCTCCGGGCACTGCCCTCCTTCTCCAGAAGAAACAGGAGAAGGGTCAGGGCTCTGGTGCCCCCGAGGGTGAGTCTCCAGATGCCCACTTCCCACTCCCTGCCCTGGGCCAGTGGCAGAAGAGAAGGGGGTGCTAAGAAGCTGGCTGCTCCCATCCACCCACAGCTCAGGAACCTGCACCCTGGCTTGACTACCTCTGTGGACGGAGACTCCCTCCCTCTTGGGCCTGGCCCTCAGTGTGGCTGAAGCACTTCTGGCTGAGCCTGGTTTTGCGCCCAACAAGGAGGACAGGCCGCCCCATGCTGGGGTCAGAGCACTCAGAGTGGCCAGTACCCCACCCCACCCCCCGGCCTTGGCTCTCCCACCTCACGGTCTCAGCCCAGGCGCTGGGTCTCATCTCCCCTTCACTGCCCTCCCTGGAGGGGACACGCCCAGGACCCACTGTCCACAGGCCTGCTCTCTGTGGTGTCCGGGTTCCTGGGGGTGGGAGTCACACTGGGAGGCAAGGCTGAGGCCCACCTTCTGCCACAGGTTGGCCCCGGGGTCGTACACATAGACCTTCTTGGTGTTGTCGCCGACCAGGTAGAGCGCCCCCTGCAGAGCCGCACAGCGAGGCGAGGACAGATACTTGGGGAGGAAGGGCGAGGCGATCATACTCCAGGCTTCTGTGGGGACACAGGGTCTGAGGCTCCTCCAAGTCAGCACCCCCTTCTGAGCTGGGGAGTGAGCCCTTGCAAGGGAGGTGGGGTCCACAGACCCGAGCCCACTGCTCGCACCTCACTTTCTCTGGACAGGTGGAGGGTGTGGGGGGCTTGCGGGAGGGGCTCAGGGGCAGGAGGCCCTCAGAGCCTCATCCTCAGGTCCTGAGCAGGGCCGTGGTCTGCGGCCACCCCACCCTCACCGTCCCTGGGTTTCGCCTCCCTCTTGCCCCGTCCCCTTGGTCTGGGAACCTGGGGTCCCACCTGACCCTGGGGCCAGCTGGTCTCCTGTGGGACCCTCACACGCATCCTGCAGAATGGGTCCTAAGAACATGTCCACTGACCAGGGGACAGAACAGAGGGCAAGAGATTGGGCTGGAAGGGCCACCGAGCCAGAGGCAGCCCAGCTGGAGCCAAACTCTGTCCCAAAGCGCAGAGACCGAGCTGCTGCCACTGGGCCTGGTGGGTCCAGGCCACTGCTCCCGGCCATGAGGCCAGTTCCAGGCAGATGCAGCCACCAGACAGCTTCCCAGATCTGGGGCTGGGCTTCCCTGTCACTGCCCTGGGGCACTCCGCCCCCAGCCCCCTGACGGCTCGTCGGGTGGGGCTGTTGCTCTGTGCAGGTGACCCCTCGTTTCCCCTCTGGGCCCCTTGTGTCCGCTGGGTTCCCCACCTGTGACGGGGTTGTAGCACTGCAGGGCCAGCGCGTTGTACTTGCAGGCGCTGGAGCCCACCAGGTAGAGCCGGCCCTGGCAGCTGGCCGCGGAGAAGTTACTGACGTACTTCAGGGCCGGGCTGACAGGCGTCCAGGTGTCTGTGTAGGGGTCGTAGCTCTCCACCTCCACTATGTCCAGGGTGGTGCCTGTGAGGGCGGGACAGGGCTGCAGGGGGCGGGGCCAAGGGCAGGTTCCTGGAAATGCAGGGCCTGGGCTTTGTAGAAAGGCAGGGACCATCCTGCTGCCCCAGGAGGGGAAGGGAGTGGGAGGCATGGCCTCATAGGCAGATGCCTTTCCTCCATCTCAGAGGGAAGTGAGGTCCGAGAGGTGAGGGTACCTGCTCAAGGCCACATGACCAAGAAGTGGCATGGGAGGTGGGCACCTGTAGGCAGGAATTCCTCCCTCCAGGATGGTAACGGGGCCTCGCAGTAAAGCCCAGCCGCTCCCAACCCCTCAGAGCCCAGCACAGGGGAGGGGTGCTGGTGGGAGCCCCCAGGAGGCTGGCCCCCAGGCCTCTCATCGTGGGGGCTGTAGGTAGCTAGACGGTCCATCCTTGCTGCTTGACACAGTCGCTGCAGGGAAGAAACATCTGCACAGCATATGTTTCAAGGGACCTGGCGTATATAGCATACTGTTCTTAATATGTTTGCTCCCCTTAGCACTATGTGTTTTAACGAAGGTCACCTCTCCGAGAAAGGTTGTTTCCCCAGGTAGGGATTTTCCCCCTGAAGTTAGGGAGGGAATAAAACCCCTTAACTAAGTACCTAGAGACTTTTAGGATTAACTAGAGACAGAACCTAGCGAGAGAACCTGGCTGAAGATCCTAGAGACAGAACCTGGCTACGGAACCTGGATAGAACATGGCAAGAGAACCTGACTAGAACCTGGTGACCAAACCTGGCTGGAGAACCTAGACAGAACCTGGCTGCAAAACCTAGCAAGAGACAATAAACACCAGAACTTGGCTGGAGATCCAGACCAGAACTTGGCTGGAGATCCTGGCTAGAGATCCTGGAGAACCTGGAGAACCTGGCTGGAGAACCTAGTGAGAGAGCCGAACCAGAACTTGGCTAGAGATCCTGGCTAGGCTGCTGATCAACTGAATGCTCTCTCCATGTCATTCCTTCTTTGCCGACTCCGTCCACACCTTTGGGGACCCCTGGACCTGCTGGGGTTGGACCCCAGCACCCCTGGCAGAGCCTGGGGGTGGTGATGACTGGGCTCTGCGCTGGGTGGCAGGGCCAGCCTGGGGACCCCGAGTTCCTGGGGCTCGGGACCTGTGCCTGCCCTCTGCTCTTGGGCTGAGCATGACAAGCTCTGAGGGACGAGGGGCTGGCCAGCACAGGAGGAATTAGGAGTGGCCTCGGGGCCAGTGGGTCCCCTACAGAGGCCTTGGGAAACTTGCTCAACAAATGCATTTTGTTTTTCAATATTCATCCAACCACACGTGTCTCCGGGGTGACTCTGAGGGGGCTCTGGGAGGAAGGAGTGAAGGTGGGTTCCCATCCTCAGGCTGGGTATGGTGGGGCAACGGTGACAGCAAAGGGACCCATTGCGGATCCCCGTATCCCAGGGACTTCACTGAGGAGGGGACCCTGAGCTGAGTTTCTGGGATGGGAGTAGCTCTCTCTGCTGGCAGCTGGAAGCCAGCCCCTCAAGGGTCTCCTTCTGGGGACTGATTCGTCCTGTTTCCTGGGTCCCTGGAGTGCATCAGAGTCACCCAGCGCTGGCTACCGCAGGCCTGAGCCTCATTCCAGGATGTCCAGGGGCACAGCCCAGGGGGAATTCTGCTGCCTAGCCTGCCCGGAAGCCCTGGCATGGGTCCTGATTACCCCAGACGGTGAGCTCCTGGAGGCAGGCACGGGGGCAGTGCCCTGGTCATCCCTGGGGCCAGCATGGGGGCTCTCTGGTCCCCAGTGAGGGCATGGGGGTGGGGAGCCACTGTTGCAGGATTGAGAGGCCGCCAGGCTGCAGAGAGGTGGGGAGGGGCTCAGAGGAGCAGGAGGCAGCCGGGGGCGATGGGGCGGGGAGCCTTACCGCCGATGACATAGATCTCCCCGTTGAGCGCCGAGCTGGCGTGGTTTGTGCGGGCCTTCAGCATGGGCGCCACTGGCCTCCAGGCTGCCTCCTTCATGGGGAAGCACCAGGCCTGGGTGGTTGACCAGGTGTCTGTCTTGGTGCCCCGAGAGCCACCTGCCAGGAAAGGTTCTGTCCCTTAGGTGCCCGTCAGCCTGGGGTCTCTGAGCCCGTGGGGACTGGGCATCCAGGGTCCTGCTCCCTCTTCCCAGGCCAGGCCTCTGTGCTGCCGGACCCCAGGCTGGGTGGGACCACAGCGGCACAGCTAGCTGGGTGGCTCGGACAGGTCCCTCTTGCTCCACAAATAACGGCGGCAAGACCAGTGGTTCAAACCCCCACCCTGGAAGCTCTGAGACATGAGAGGCAGTGACCCCTCCCCCTCACACGGTTCCGCCTTGGGAGGACCCGGCTGCGGAGCGTGGCAAGGCCACCTGGGTCCACGTCAGGCAGGGACTGTTCCCTGCACCCACGTGTGGCCCCGTGGCCCTAAAATGTTCTCGTTTTCACCCCATGAAAAGCTCTGGAAGAGTCTTGACTAAACTGTGGGATCCCACCAAGCGAAGGGGAGCCCCGTCTGCCCACCTGTGACGTAGACGCTGTTGTTCAGCGCAGCCAGGGAGAAGCCCCACTTGTGGAAGTCGGGGAAGTCGGGGAGCGGCGTCCACCTCTCTGGCAGGAGGAGAGGCAGGGTCAGCATGCAGAGCTCCCTGCTGGGCCTCCCCCTCACATCTCCTCTGCTCCGTGGTGCAGAGCCGTCCCCTCACCAGCAAAGGGGTAAGGGGGTCTCCGCTGCCGCAAAAGTGGGGGCCACCCCAGTGGGGCGGGGTCCGAGGCGGCCCTGGTGCTCCATGGGCATTGCCAGGCCCGGCTCCTGGTGGCCCCCTGGAGCCTGGCACCTGGACAGTCATAGCACGGCCCCAGGGCGAGCCGAGAGGCGGCCAGGCTCCAGAGGCTGCTCTCACACGACCCTGCAGTTGACCCCACTGACCCCAAATGGGCCTTTTAGTCTGGTTCCACCTCAGTCAGAGGGGTGATGAGTTAAAGGGCCTGTTCTCTAGTTGCTAGAGGGTTATAACAGAAACATCATTCATTCCCGAATTCCTCATGCATTTTCCCTGAGCCCCTTCTGTGCTCACGTGAGCCAGGGGCATGCAGGGGACCACACGTGGGCCTGCAATGGGCAGAGTGGTCCACACCCAGCTCTCATGCACCGGCTGTGTGGCCTGGGGAAGCCTGGCCTCAGTTTCTTCATCTGTGGAATGGGGATGATTCCCAGCTCCCAGGGATGTGGGACAACATGAGATGCCGTGTGTCTGTCACACAGCAACTGCTCAGCCAAAGGTAGCTTTTAGGACAGAGGAAGGCACCCGAGTCAGACCTGCCTGCGTGGAGCTACATGAGGTCAGCTGAGGCAAGGAATGCTTTGAGAAGATAAAAATGAGACAGTAAAGGTGGGAATATTTAAGTCCTCTAAGTGGACACATTTGGGGTTTTTAGAGAAAGCTGTGGGAGAGACACAACCTTGGGGATGTCCCTTGGAAAAGTCTGTTTATTGTTGACAACAGTTTTCAAAACACGCAGAACTTCGGGCCTTGCTGGGCAGGGGCTGTGTGCCCTCCTGACTCATGTCTGTGCCACCCCATGGGGATTGCCCAGGAGTCAGTCACCAGGCCTTTGCCTGCCAGCATCCCCCCTGCACCCTCCCAGTGGGATCCGAGGGACAGCTGCTTCGGGGCTGAGCCAGCCGAGCTCATTTTCTGATGTCAGGCCTGAAATCCCCTCTCATCAGCCCCTGACCTAGGACAGCCAGCCCCAAGCCTGCCAGCCACTGACGCCATGGGGGTGTCTGGGGACCTGCCCAGCAGCCCCAGGACACCAGCCAGCCTGCATCAGTGTTGCCCAAAGACCTGCCTGGGCCAATGTGCCCTCCCCATCCCCCGCAGGAGAGGCATATCCAAAGGGCAGGGCTGGCCCCTGTGCAAAGGAGCCCATTTCACAGATGAGGAAACCGAGACTCAGGGCGGTAAAGTGACCTGCTCAAAGGCTGCAATTAGAATCCCATTCGGGCAGATCCAGAACCTGAGTGCTCACCCCCCAGGCTGCCTGCACCCAACCCTGAGGCCATAGGGGCACTGAAGGCACAGGGCACCAAGAGGAAGCAGCTGCCAGGTCACCCATCCCATACCGTGTGGTCTGGGCAGCAGAACCCCTTATTGGGGTCCCATGGCCTAAAAGACAAAACCGAGGGCTTTGGCTGAAGGGAGAGGGACTTGCAGTGCCCCCCACTGTCAGCTTCCCCTCCCCCAGTCTCGCCCACAGCCCCCTGAGGCCCAGGCACACCCAGGATGGGCCTGTTGTCTGTGCACCTCACAAGGGCTCCTATCAGTGGCAGGCGGAGCTCTGGACGCTGGAGTACTCACTGGCTTTGGTGTTGTAGAAAGCGAAGTTCTCGAGATGGGGGGCGGGCTCCTCAGCGCCCTCCTCAGCCTCCTCCAGGGCCCGGCCGCCCACCACCACCAGGACCTCCTCCAGCTGCTGGGGCAGGGCAGGCAGTGCCTGTGGGCCAGGAGGGTGCAGTCAGAGGGAAGGGTGGCCGCTGTCCCTGCGCTGGCAGGCCTTGGCGTTGTTTTCTGAGGCAGGTAGTAGCCTTGACATTTGGGGACAGGGGTCCACAGGTGTGCTTCCTTGTTGGTGCACATGTGTGGGTGGGTAAGGTTCAGTGTGTAGGCCTCTGTGTGTGCCCATGTATGTGTGTGTGCCCATGTGTGTACTGTGCCCATGTGTGTGTGTGTGTGTGCCCATGTGTGTGGTGACTGCATCAAAGCACAGAACAGCGAGAGGTAGGGCAGCTGCCCCTGTGCCCTGAGCATGAGAGCAGCTCTCCTTCCAGTGGCCACCACGCACCTGCCAGAGGTGTTCCTGCACCCACCTTTGGAACTGACCCCAGACTGTCCCCAAACCCCCACATAAGCCTCCCCCTGCGCCTGGAGCCCTGCTCTCCTGGGCCTGCATGTGCACACCCAACTTGGATGGCCCTGGCAGGTGAGAAACGCTGAAATGGCCCCACCCTAGTTGGTAAGTAGCCACTGTCCAGAGCTCCCAGGACCTAAGGGTCCCACTGGCTCTCTGGCCCCTCCTATGGATGCCCGCACCTCCCTCCACCAGCAATTACAAGATGACTACCTCACGGGGCAGGGCCCCCAGCTGGCTCGACCCCAGGGCGGCCTTTGTGCCTGGCGGTAAGGCCACCTCGCACCTCATCCCTGGCCTGAGCACGGTTTTGTCTCCAGACTTGGTTGCTGAGGCATCCTCTGGAGCAAGGCCTGAGCAAGCAGCAGGCGGACTTGTCGGCTCCCTGTCCCAGCCACACCCTGGCCTGTCACTTCATCAGGACCTGCCCTGCCTGCCAGCCCCACTGCCAGCAGGATAGGAAATTGCAGCCATGAAAGCTCGAGCAGCTTCCTAGGGGGCAGGTGGTAGCCGGCTGCCATGCCTGCCTGTGTCCTGTTCCCCTTCTCCTTACATTTGACACCCATGGGCACAATCTGTACTTGGGGGTGAGTGGTGCACTCTCCATCCCCATGCAGGTGGAGTGTCTGAGCTTCCCCTCCCTGCTCCCCTTCCCCACTCACCCCATCATGGCCCTGGGACAGGGCTGCTTGACACGCCTCTGACTCCAGGATGAGTGGCTCCGTGGCCAGCAGCTGCTGCACGCAGGGCCTGGGCACGGCATCCAGGCGCACCAAGCTGAGCAGCTCAGGCAGGTGGGCGGCCCGGGCCTGTGGGTCGTGGCGCACCCAGCGCAGCAGGGCCTCCAGCCGGCTTTGTTCTGGCTGCACCTGCAACAGGTCGCTGGCCAGGCAGGTGGCCAGCCGGTCTTGGGACAGCTGCAGGAACTCGTCCTCCTGTGCCACCGCCTCAAAGTTCTCCCGTAGGAAGGCCCAGGCCTTGGCCACCACGCCCAGCAGCCCCTGCTGCTCCCCGAACTCACAGATGCCCAGGCAGTTGGTGGCGTCCAGCTGCTGCTGCAGGTACCGGCCGCAGACTAGGCCGCGGTGGCAAGGCAGCTCCCGGCCGCCCACCAGCAGCGTGACGTCGGCCAGTTTGGGCTGAGAGCGCAGCCGCTGCAGCCCGTCCAGCATGTCCTGGGCGTGCGAGGGCAGGTGGAAGTCCAGGTCGTCCACGTTCCGAACCATGACTGCGGAGCCAACTCGGCCAGCCCCCGGAAGAAGCTCCTGGGGCGAGAAGGAAGCGGGTGAGCGGGGGCGGGTGGTCTCATTCACACCAGCCCTTCCCACCCTCCACCAGCCTGGGCTGAGCACTCAGCGGCTTCCCCTGCTCCCCGATCTGCTGGGGAGGGCGTTGGGGACATGGAGAGGCTTCCTGCCCTGCTCTCCCTGGCCACACGGAGCCTCGCCCGGCTACGACCCTGCTGGTGTCCCGGGGGAGCCATGACTGTCTCTGGCCCCAGCTTCCTCATCTGCAGATGGAGAGGCTGATGGTGGAGGAGTTGTGTGATCGGTCTCTGCAGCAGCTCCCGCTGACAGGCCCCCGTGCGCTTGGCCACATCCCAAGGGTGGCTCACACCTTCGCCACACAGACCTGCCTGTGGGGTGCATGCTCTTAGCGTCCCTTTTGCAGATGAGGAAACTGAGGCACAGAGTAGCACTTGTTTATGGTCACACCA